ACCCCCGAGCCGCCCACCCCCCTCCGCTCAGCGCTGTCCCACCTGCGGCCCCGGGCTCGCCGGGAGCCGTCATCCCGGCAGCGAGCACGGCGCGGGGCTGCAGGCGATGGCCCCGGAGCAGCGGGGCACCGCAGCAGCCTCGGGTCCGGGCACCTCGCGGGCCCCCGGGTAGCGGGACCCTCATTCTGCCTCTGCCTTCCACGGCTGCTTTGCTGCCCCGCGTCTGCTTCTCCACAGGAGCCTGGCCGCCATCAAACCACCTTCCAGCTTTACAAAGAGCTTTAGTAGAATAGAGTAGCGTGTCCTTAGAGCCCCTCTGGGACAGCACGTCAGGGTGTGACCACTCCAGCATCAGCGTCTCGGCACCCTCTGCAAGGGAGCCGGCAGTCTTCCAGAAGCATTGCTCACTCGAGAGAAAGTGTCCCTGCATCCATCCCTCAGTGCAACATGGTGTGATAACCAGCCAGGTTAAAACACTGGCTCTTCCTTCACCTCCTCAGCTGTGCGGGGCTACATAATGTTTTTGGAGAAAAGCTGGACCCGCAGCCTTTGAGGCACAGAGACTGCCAGCCTGGTGTGTGTCAACAGTGCAAAACCCCAAACCCTCCTCACCTCCTTCACCTCCACATTGCTGAGCACTGAGCTCACACTTGAACAATATCCAGAAATTGGACACACAGCTGATCCAGAAATTGGACACACAGCTGGTTCCTCCAGGCTGACAGTGTGTAAGAACATTCCTGCCCATGCCAGTCACTCTCTCCCAAAGCCATGAGATAACCAGTTACCCACTGGAGCCAAGGCAGCGTGCAGACGGACTGAGGTGGATTGTGGGTCCAGTTTCTCATCGCAGTGTGCTTCTGACCTAGCAAAGTGAGGGGCTTCAGCGACAGGTCAGCCCAGAGCATCTCTCTGGCACATGCTGGGGGTTGTACAGAGCTGGCTGCACTTACTAGACTAAGTAACAGAGCATCTCCCTCGACTTCTGACTCTTCATCATCCCAGAAATGCCAAGTGTTGGGTACAGACAGGAAACAAAACCAAATCACACCTAAAATCAAACCCTAAAACAGAGAGGCTGGACATCCAGCCCTGAGTCTGCACAGTCAGAGCATCTGCTGGACACTGGGAAGACAGAGCTGCTGTGCCAGCGTGGGATCCCGATGCATTCAGCAATTTACTGTGTGCAGGGGTTTAAACCTATCTAACCTTTCTTCCCTCGCTCTGCATTTCTGCTTTCATGAAATGAAATGAATTTCTTTCTTTTCATTTCTGCTTTCAGCTTGGTTTGCTGAACTTGGAGCTTTCCTTCACTCATTTGGCTCACACATACTCTGCAATTAGACCCATGGAACTGTACGGTTTCCCAGCTTTTTCAGCATTAGCTCTCAACAATTTGCAAAAGAGATGGGTATTGCTATCCCCTGAGGCTAAATATGATCCATAAAACGTTCTCATTATCTATTTTCTGACCCTCGTGCACATGCTGTGCTTGAAGTGAAGGCAACCTGAATGTGCAAGATGTGCTCTGCCATCCCTTGCTGCTGGATGGGAAAATGCAGCACTCT